TTTTTACTAAATAGCAATGTTAACATCATTTTAATATTGTTTTCTGCTTATCTACTAAAAAATTGTTACAAAAAATTTATTTTTCGAAGTATTCAGTTAAAAATTAGTTTTAATATAAAAATTAAAAATAAGCACAAAAATTAAAGCTTTGATCACATTTAATAATAAGCTTTTTGTTTTTTAAGATGTTAAATTGGCTCAAATGGCATAACCTGTAACGCAGAACCTTTGAAAATCTTTTTATTTTCAATTTTTATGTACTTAATTAGTTGACTAAGGTTATAGTAACCTCTTTTTCTTCAATAGAATAATTTTGGCAACACTGGGAAGAAAATTATTTTTTTCATTAGATTTACGACCACAGGTGCAGTCACATATATTATTTTTAAATTAAAGGAAAAAGTTAAACGTGATAAAAAGTGTAAGGTAAATAGAATATAACATTTAATAAATAAACATCAAAAATTATAAAATAACAATGTTATGTGTTCACAGTAAAATCGATAACAAATTGAAATGATATTGAATTTTGATCAATTTTATTTCTTTTCTTGTGTACTGACACATCGTTTATACTATTCTATTTTATTTATAAAAAGTGAAGATGAGCACAATTTTTATTTAGTTCACACCTCGTCAGTCTACGTACATGCTAATGGGCATGGTAATTAAACGATAATGAACACCGGGCAGTGTATCTTCCTCGGATAATTCGCCGTGAGCAGAGAGGAATAAGAGAAGATTTATGAACTTTCGATGCAGCGCGCCATTATCATTTAATTACCGCCCGCAGTAGCGCGGCCGCCGAGGCTGCATTATTTCATTATCGCGGCGGCGATTTTGTCATCGACTTGACGTTTCAATGAAAAAGCCCTGCTTTCCAGATTTACGCCGGCGTGAGTGACACGGAGCACCTTGTCAACGCCGCTGCCAATTAAAAGTAAACGCGCGCGGCAAAATCGACACGACAGCTTCTCTCAATTTAAATTAGAAATCAAATTTTCCGACCGCTACTTCGGCGTCAAAGGAAGGCGGCGAGACGTCTCGCTTTTCTTTTTTGCTCCACTGAAGGTGAGCTATTGACGGCGCTACATGCACGCGTTTATTATTATTCAGCATTAAAAGGAGAGAGAAACTGAATTTTTTTCCATTTCAAATAAAATAAAATTCAACCTTGGATGTTCTTTGATTTTTTTTCTGTTAAAATTAAAATAAAAATCTTTCCGAGAAAGAAAATTTCCATCTCTGGGGGGATGGAATAGTGTAATTATTATTTCAGTGTTTGCCGAGTGTCAAATTTAAATTTACGAGTGAAGAGGGCAATTTACGAATGCAGTATAAATAATAATGCAGTCGTAAATTACGCGCGGCGAGCATTAAAATTTCTCAGAAGTCCCGAACCGAAATTAATGTGGAAAAACTCACTCGTTGTATTGCAGAGCTGCGGCGTCTTTTGTAGTCCTCGAGATGAATTCGCTAGGCAAGCAATCAAACGAGCACCTGCTGAACGTGAGCGTCGTCGAGAGTCGGCGGTCGCGCGCCAAATGCCAGCCGAAGCGTCTCGGGAGAGAAAGAGTGGGTCTTCCACTTCTTGCAGACACCTTTACCTTCAAGCGAGCACCAACGCCATCTGCACTCCAACCTGATGCGCAGTTGCAAATGTATAAAATAAATAAACTAGTTACAATTTTTGAAATAATTTTAATGCTCTAGTTTCCTAAATTCAAGATTTATATTTTTTCGGACTTACTGCGCTGAATTGTGATTTTGTTTTTTCTTAATACTTTGCAAATGGGCAGCCGCTTCAGAGATTGAGATTGCTTGGCAATATCAAGCCATTAGTCAATAAAAGCTAATGCTAGTAATGCTTTATATTAATTCAGATTCAATCTCTATTTGTAAATTATCTAAATTTTACATTGAAATGCAATTCTTCTCTATATTAAATATAATGCTGTGCAGAGCATTTTGTACAGCATCAATATAATACAAAATATTTAAAATATCGGTTTTTAAACAAAATTTGTATATGCAGCAAAATTTTAAATTAAAAATTGCTATTAGTTATAATTTTTTATTTAATTATATTGCCAATTTAAACAAAAACTAAATTGATTAAATTTAAAAGGAAAAACTAATATAAACTATTAAATAAGTTATGAGCAGCAATTATAAGAAAATAAATTTTTCTTTGACAAGTATTAATTAATTAATTTTCAAAATTACATTTGGGCTGGTTTCCAATTCGCCATTACGTTATTCGTTTACGCATTACGTTGTTCGTTTTGCCAAGGAAATCGTATAAGCCGTTTCCAATTCACCAAAACGATACACGTAAACGGAATCCGAGTACAGCAAAACGTATAAGCGGTTTCCGATTCGCCAAAACGTACTCCGTAAACGTATTACGAGTGCCGACAGTGGTTTCCAATTCGCCAAAACGGACTCCGTAAACGTATTACGAGTGCCGACAGTGGTTTCCAATTCTCCAAAACGTAGTACGTTTACGTGCAACTCATTACGAGCACCAAACGTGCTTCGTACGTGATACGTACGTCGTTTTAATAAAAGTGCAATTCTGAATAATTATAATTGGTGCTTGTAATGAATTCTTAATTATATCATCCATTTGAGCATTAAGTCCTTCAATTAGAGTTAATTTTCCACCAATTAAGTTAATTCGGTTATGGGGGTGAGCAGGGGTGAGTTGAAGGAAATTAGTTTTATGTCAAGTGCGTAACATGATTATAGGCTAAAATTTTGTGAGGAAATCAATGGTGTATATGATTTTAATGAGAAATGTTAATTTCAACCCTTAATTAGCAATTAACTCGAATACAAACAAATTGAAGTGCAATACATGACTTTAGGGTGAAATTTGAAGCCCAAGCGATTGCCAGCATAAATTTTGCGCTATCAATTTAATTTCATCCCCTAAATTGAAATATAATGATGTCCACACAAATTTTAGAGCGAGACATGTTTAAATGGTAAAATTTGACGCCAGGTCGTTTGCCAGAAGTGATTTTGCTCTACAAATTTAATTTCAACCCCTAATTTGAAATTAAGTGAAATTAACAACAATTTCAGAGCGAGATATGTTTGAGTGGTTAAATTTGACGCCAGATCGTTTGCTAGAAGTGATTTTGCTCTAAAAATTTAATTTCAACCCCTAATTTGAAATTACTCAAAATTAACAACAATTTCAGAGAGAGACATGTTAAAGTGGTAAAATTTGACGCCATATTGTTTGCGAGAAGTGATTTTGCTCTAAAAATTTAATTTCAACCCCTAATTTGAAATTACTCAAAATTAACAACAATTTCAGAGAGAGACATGTTAAAGTGGTAAAATTTGACGCCATATTGTTTGCGAGAAGTTATTTTGCTCTAAAAATTTAATATCAACCCCTATTTGAAATTATATGAAATTAACAACAATTTAAGAGCGAGACTTGATGATATGAGTATTATGAGTTGAATTTAGCGAATTTAGAATTTAGAGCCACATTGATTGCCATACTTAACTAAAAAATTCAAACATTAGTTAATAAATAAGGAAATCAGGGGTTGAAATTGAAATTAAGCAAATTAAGTGCAAAATAACATTTGAAAATCAATCTAGCATTAAAATTACATACATAAAACAACTATCGCTCTTAAATTGTTGTTAATTCCATAAAATTACGAATTAGGGGTTGAAAATTAATTAAATAAATAGTATTTTCCAAATTTTCCCTGGCAATCGGCCTGGCTTTGAAATCTACCAATAAAAAATGTCTCGCTCTCAAATTGTTGTTAATTTCACGTAATTTCAAATTAGGGGTTGAAATTAAATTTTTAGTGCAAAATCACTTCTTGCAAACGATCTGGCGTCAAATTTAACCACTCAAACATATCTCGCTCTGAAATTGTTGTTAATTTCACTTAATTTCAAATTAGGGGTTGAAATTAAATTTGTAGAGCAAAATCACTTCTGGCAAACGATCTGGCGTCAAATTTTACCATTTAAACATGTCTCGCTCTAAAATTTGTGTGGACATCATTATATTTCAATTTAGGGGATGAAATTAAATTGATAGCGCAAAATTTATGCTGGCAATCGCTTGGGCTTCAAATTTCACCCTAAAGTCATGTATTGCACTTCAATTTGTTTGTATTCGAGTTAATTGCTAATTAAGGGTTGAAATTAACATTTTTCATTAAAATCATATACACCATTGATTTCCTCACAAAATTTTAGCCTATAATCATGTTACGCACTTGACATAAAACTAATTTCCTTCAACTCACCCCTGCTCACCCCCATAACCGAATTAACTTAATTGGTGGAAAATTAACTCTAATTGAAGGACTTAATGCTCAAATGGATGATATAATTAAGAATTCATTACAAGCACCAATTATAATTATTCAGAATTGCACTTTTATTAAAACGACGTACGTATCACGTATGAAGCACGTTTGGTGCTCGTAATGAGTTGCACGTAAACGTACTACGTTTTGGAGAATTGGAAACCACTGTCGGCACTCGTAATACGTTTACGGAGTCCGTTTTGGCGAATTGGAAACCACTGTCGGCACTCGTAATACGTTTACGGAGTACGTTTTGGCGAATCGGAAACCGCTTATACGTTTTGCTGTACTCGGATTCCGTTTACGTGTATCGTTTTGGTGAATTGGAAACGGCTTATACGATTTCCTTGGCAAAACGAACAACGTAATGCGTAAACGAATAACGTAATGGCGAATTGGAAACCAGCCTTGATAATTATGCAATTTAAATCCAATTTTTTTTAATGTGTAAAAATTGTAAATAGCCTGTGTAAATGATCAATTGTTTTAAATTGTAGTGGCTTTGTGAGACAAAAAATTCATCAAATATAAGCAACGACCAACTTTCTATTATATTGAATCTGAATGTACCCAGTCTAAGAAAAAGATAAGATTAGCTAGGCCTATAAAATTGCGAACAATTTGCGTTACGTGTTCATCTATACTGTGTGCATTGCATTGAATAGAGGTGACTTTCGGACTGGTAAGATAAGTATTGCTTGAAAAGATAGCATTCGTAGGTGAGTTAGTCCTCATCATAATGAATTGCGAATAATTGACCATCAGAATTCAAACTTTGGCTGGTATATTTGCTGATCAAGCGACCTATTTTGCTAATTTTAGCATCTCTTCGTAGAAAGTATAAATATTTGTATATAACCACATTTTTTAACTGAGATTTTAAACGCAAAATAGAAATTTCATAGGGATGCGTTATATTGCAAATTGACAAAATGACACAGGTTTTGATTTAATTTTTTTAAATGATAAACATTTATCCATTGGTAAATGTTTTTCTGATCTTGAAATTTTTCCTATCATGTTACCTTAAAAGTTGTTGAGCGTCGCAATGTTTGTCTGAAAAGGTTTTCTTCAAATTCTATCTAAATAAGGAACAGGAAAAATTATAATCTCAATTTTTAGGTTTCCTAAATTAAATGTTAAAAAAATAGGTTATCATGAATATTTTAATCTGATAGGGCTAGTTTTTTTTACACGTTTGAGCGTTGATCATAAAAAACAACATATTTAAAATTTCATTCTACATATACTCGCGTCCCAGTGCAAGATCGTTCTCAGTAGTTAGTCCTTTTCGATAATAATTTAATCAATCATTCAAGGTTAAAAGACTGTTTGACACAATGTAAGAGATGCTAAAAATTCTGAATTGCAAAGTTAGCCTATTTATAATATTACTAAAATTATGCTGATAAGATAAAATGATAAAATGAATAGTTTGTACCTTGGACAGTATTTTATATTTTGGCACACACAAAAAACATATTTCATATAATTATGCTTATGATGATGAAATGGAATTATTAATTTGAACTCGGCAGAATATTTAGTAATTGAAATACATTAAAAAATTAATAAAATTGCAATTCAATACGAAAATGAACAATTTAAAATTTAATTTTCAAAGCTTTCGTATATTTCTCGTTTTTCAGGTTTTGAAAGAAGGATTACCTGTTTTTTTTTTATTCCATTGGAATTTACCGACAAAATTTATATTTTTCAAATGCGGCTGCCATCGAAACAACTTAAACGATGTAGAATTAACTAGAACGTGGCTACATAATATTGATTTCAAACGAATTATTACTGAAGGAAAATTAAAATTTTCAAACTGAATTATCAACGTTACTTTTTTTTAACGTTCAATATAACACATAACGCCAAAATTGTCAACGATAAAATACAGTGATTTTTTTTTTTTAATTTCAGTTATAGTGATGCTAACTATATTGACACGCCAATAAAAATCTGCAAAATGGAACAAAGTTGTGATGTTTCACAAACAGAATGCGGTGAAAAGTCCTCTTTATTTAACAGCGGTTTGCTTCATTCTTAAATTAATATGCTAGATGCTCATACAGGTTTTTTAGAGGTTCAAGAACCGGAAGGATTAAACATGGCATTCTTGTTTTGTGCTGGACTGTTGATCGTATTTCTTTTCCTACGTCTGTGGACTTCCTCTCGTGAACGGAAACTGGTGATCTTCGAGGAATACCAGAATGTGGAAGACTCGGAAGAGCTAACTTTTTTAAAGAAGTTTGCATATATATTTTTTTTTTTTTTTAATTCTACACAACTTAATTTCAGGGCGTGTGTTTTGGTTGTCAGCTACGAATTTGAAAATGACAGCCTAATGAAGCGCAATAGCATTGAAGATGACCTCGCCAATTTGAGGAAAACCTTTCAACTCAAGAGAAATTGTAACTACAAGGAAATTGCATCTCCAAATGCAGCAGAGCTACTCGAAATACTGAAAAATGAGCAAGAACTCCTCAAGCTATTCGAAATTTCTGGTAAGAAATTTTACATCAAATGCATATGATTTCAATGCTATCTAAAGAAATAATTATTTGAAAAAATATCGCTGAATAAGAATATTTCTATAGCTGTGCCTGCAGTTCTCTTTATCGTCCTTCTATCGCATGTGAAGAGTGATAATATCATCCTGACAGACCACATGGACAGTGATGGAAATTACAAACGTTTTGAGACCACTGAAATATTTGAAGCGATTAAAAATACACCAGATTTAAAAGATCAACTCAATGTCATTTTCTTTGGCGTAAGATATAATATCGCTCATAATCGGAATATTTTTTTTTGTAATTTCATCACAAATAGCCTAGCAAAGGAAACTTTGACGATTTCTCCAATGCCGAAAAAGACAGTTCCCCAGAGTACGAAAACCAAACATCTAGTAGGTTTATTATCACTCCACGAGTTGATAATTTGGTCCTCGTCAGTTCAGTTGAAAGTGATTTTTAATGTTAATGGTTTGAAATAAAGTTAAACAGTAAAATTTAGCGAATACGTCCCTCGGAAGTACGAAGGATGGCACGTGGTTTGTGAAGGAAATTTGTAGGATGGTGGACGACCTTGACAAAGACGAGCCGCTTGAAGTTTTTCTCACAAAATTCCAACATTCAGCTCACTGCAACCTGCAAGAGATTTGCCACACAACCGGGGAAAATAACTCTTCTCACAGGAATTTCGTGATTTGCAAGTATAGGTTCATTTTAGCTAAAAATTTTCACCTTTTTAATTCGTTCTTAAGAAGCGTATCAGAGACAGAAGTTTCCAGCGAACCCCAATCAGATTGGACTTTCATGATGGCAGCTCGCTTTTCAGACGTAGAAATGTGCAGATCATTGGTGGAAAACGGCGCTGATTTGTGTGAGGTGGATGAATTTGGAGACGACGCTCTGCATTTGGCATGCCTCGAAGGGAAATTGGAAAATGCCAGGTATTTGTTGGGATTAACTGGCTTCAGCGTGGAAAAGAGAGGCCAATTTGGTCAAACGGCTCTTCATAAAGCAGCCAGTAAAGGTCACGTCGCCGTAGCCGAATTGCTACTTTCATTAGGAGCAGACATCAACGCACGTGATGATAATGATGACACGCCACTTATTTTAGCTGCTCAATTTTCAAGCGAAGATATGTGTAGATTCTTGGTGGAGAAAGGCGCTGATATTTATTCAGTTGACAAATACGGAGAGAAGATTTTGCATCCGACATGCCTCAAAATGACACGTGAAAATGCTATGTATTTGTTACGATTCATCGATTTCAGTGTTGAAAAGAAAGGTCGAAGTGGCAGAACGGCTCTTCACAAAGCAGCTAGAAAAGATCAAGTTGCAATGGTTGAACTTCTTCTTTCGTTAGGAGCAGACGTCAACGCATGTGACGATGACGATGATACGCCTCTACATCACGCAGCTCGTAAAGGCCACGTAGCAGTGGCCAAAATTCTTCTATCAAAAGGAGCAGATGTTACCGCGCGAAACGATGATGATGAAACGCCTCTTCATCGTGCTGCTGATAATGGTCACGTCGCATTGGCAGAACTCCTTCTTTCAAATGGATCAGATGTCAACGCACGCAACAAAAATGGTTACACACCACTTCATCACGCTGCTAGTAATGGTCACGTCTCAGTGGCTGAACTTCTTCTTTCAAAAGGAGCGGATGTCAACGCACGTAATAAAAATGAAAACACTCCTCTTAATGTTGCAGTGCAAATATCAAGCAAAGAAATGTGTCAATTCTTAGTTGGACACAATGCTGATTTGAGTGTTGTGGATAGAAATGGAGACAACGCTTTGCATTTGGCATGTCTGGAAGGAAAATTGGACATTGTCAAGTACTTCTTAAGATTAAATGCCTTCAGTTTGGAAAAGAGAGGCCAATTAGGAAGAACGGCTCTTCATAAAGCAGCTAGTAAAGGTCACATCGCCGTAGCCGAATTGCTTCTTTCATTAGGAGCAGACATTAACGCACATGATGATAATAATGACACGCCACTTATTTTGGCAGCTCAATTTTCAAGCGAAGATATGTGTAGATTCTTAGTGGAGAAGGGCACTGATATAAATTCAGTTGACAAATACGGAGAGAATATTGTGCATCTGGCATGCCTCAAAGGAACACGTGAAAATGCCATGTATTTGTTACGATTAATCGACTTCAGTGTTGAAAAGAAAGGTCAAAGTGGCAGAACGGCTCTTCACAAAGCAGCTAGAAAAGATCAAGTTGCAATGGCTGAACTTCTTCTTTCGTTAGGAGCAGACGTCAACGCATGTGACGATGACGATGATACGCCTCTACATCACGCAGCTCGTAAAGGCCACGTAGCAGTGGCCAAAATTCTTCTATCAAAAGGAGCAGATGTCACCGCGCGAAACGATGATGATGAAACGCCTCTTCATCGTGCTGCTGATAATGGTCACGTCGCATTGGCAGAACTCCTTCTTTCAAATGGATCAGATGTCAACGCACGCAACAAAAATGGTTACACACCACTTCATCACGCTGCTAGTAATGGTCACGTCTCAGTGGCTGAACTTCTTCTTTCAAAAGGAGCGGATGTCAACGCACGTAATAAAAATGAAAACACTCCTCTTAATGTTGCAGTGCAAATATCAAGCAAAGAAATGTGTCAATTCTTAGTTGGACACAATGCTGATTTGAGTGTTGTGGATAGAAATGGAGACAACGCTTTGCATTTGGCATGTCTGGAAGGAAAATTGGACATTGTCAAGTACTTCTTAAGATTAAATGCCTTCAGTTTGGAACAGAGAGGCCAATTAGGAAGAACGGCTCTTCATAAAGCAGCTGGTAAAGGTCACATCGCCGTAGCCGAATTGCTTCTTTCATTAGGAGCAGACATTAACGCACATGATGATAATAATGACACGCCACTTATTTTGGCAGCTCAATTTTCAAGCGAAGATATGTGTAGATTCTTAGTGGAGAAGGGCACTGATATAAATTCAGTTGACAAATACGGAGAGAATATTGTGCATCTGGCATGCCTCAAAGGAACACGTGAAAATGCCATGTATTTGTTACGATTAATCGACTTCAGTGTTGAAAAGAAAGGTCAAAGTGGCAGAACGGCTCTTCACAAAGCAGCTAGAAAAGATCAAGTTGCAATGGCTGAACTTCTTCTTTCATTAGGAGCAGACGTCAACGCATGTGACGATGACGATGATACGCCTCTACATCACGCAGCTCGTAAAGGCCACGTAGCAGTGGCCAAAATTCTTCTATCAAAAGGAGCAAATGTCAACGCACGAAACGATGATGATGAAATACCTCTTCATCACGCTGCTGATAATGGTCATGTCTCAGTGGCCGAACTCCTTCTTTTAACTGGATCAGATGTCAACGCACGCGACGAAAATGGTTACACTCCACTTCATCACGCTGCTGGTAATGGTCACGTCTCAGTGGCTGAACTTCTTCTTTCGAAAGGAGCAGATGTCAACGCACGTGATGAAAATGAAGACACTCCTCTTAATGTTGCAGCACAAATATCAAGCAAAGAAATGTGTCAATTCTTAGTTGGACACAATGCTGATTTGAGTGCTGTGGACGGAAATGGAGACAACGCTTTGCATTTGGCATGTCTTGAAGGAAAATTGGACATTGTCAAGTACTTCTTAAGATTAAATGCCTTCTGTTTGGAAAAGGAAGGCCAATTAGGAAGAACGGCCCTTCATCACGCAGCTAGTAAAGACCACGTCGCAGTGGCTAAATATCTCCTTTCAAAAGGTGCAGAAGTCAACGCAACCGATGAAAATAATGATACGCCACTCAAAGTGGCAGCAAATTCGTCAAACGAAGCAATGTTTAAATTTTTAGTGGAACACATAATGCTGCATGGGCTGAGTTTGTTGGATGAAGATCAAGAGCAAACGCTTTGGCAATTGGCATGTATCGATGGTGTGTGGCATTATTCCATGTAATTCTGTAATTATAGGAAATAAATGATGGCTTTAGCTTAAAAAATGAAAGCTTATTAGGAGGTGCCACTTTGAATACTAATATGTAACATCAATAATAATATCACGCTGTTTCACAATAAAATAGATACAATAAGAATGCAGTTTATGGCTTTTCATCAAGTAGTTGTTAAAAAACACGTCACAGTGGCTGAATTTCTTCTTCCAAAGGTTAAAGGTTAAATACGTGTCAATACACGTGTTTATTACAACAATTATTTACTTTGAAAGTGGTTATAATGGATTAATTAATAAACTTATTTCATTTGTGCAATGAAATAAGTATTTAAGTGGTTTCATTTTGAATTTTAGAAGGTTATAGTGTGCTATGACTGCTATGGCGCTTGAATTTTTTTTCTTTAAAAAGTAAATTGTATTAATTTCATCTAATCAATTACATCGTAATGTGTTTAATTGATTCATTCCTCTCTTTCACGGCGCTGTTGCCAAATTCCTTTACTCTTGCTTGGTGTCTAGTTTTCATTAATGTATAAAAAAAATACTAAACTCACTAAACTGTCAAGTAACTGTCCTCACTGATAATAGTAAATTCGTTTGTTTATGATCTGCTATCTTAAATTAAATTTTAAGTTCAGATTGAATTTCCACTTGAGAAGTATCCACAAGATGGTAAATTTTAGATCTAAGGACAAGTGATTTTATATCAAAGTCCAGAGACTGGTTTCAAACCATTTACATATTAGCACCTCAGCTCTACATTTTAGTACAATAGACATATTTCTTTTACCACTAGTGCGTATCAGAAAATAATTCCGATGAGTGCGAGAAGCAGCGCAACAATAAGGTATCAAATTAATTTTTTGTGGTTGCACGTCTGCATCTGGAAAATAACATAATGCAGCCGGGCGGGCGATGGAGCGAACCGTGGGTATTATATTCATATCGTGGATCTCCGTCTTTTTTCCATTCAGCTTCTCTTGAGCTGATACTTGAGTACGAGAGAGAATCTTCGGGGGTGGTTTTGTTCGCCAACAAAGAACGGCCAGAGAGTGATTAATGGGAACGGAAAGGAGTCCGAGTTTCTGATGGCCTTTTATTCAAATCGAATCGCTCAGGCATAATTTTTGATAGTCATTCCACCTGTGGTTCTAAAGATATATATCTACAATGAGGAATTGGAAAAAAATAATGTTGGATGGATTTTTTAAATCCTTTTAATTTTGGTACAATTTATAATATATAAGAATCGTAGGGGCTAATGCAGCACATAATAGCATAATGAAAATTCTGAATTCGCAGTGAAAGCATTATTCTGTATAGAAAAACAATTTATTGTCTTTCCAATTCGTGTAATTATACAAAAAAATTATAAATTCTTACCTTTAATAATGTTGATTATGTTGAAGAGAATTTTTATCTTGAAAAAAATTTTGATAATAAATTTTATAAATAACAAAATTTATTAAATAAAAATTTTAAACAATCAAATAACGCTCTTCAAACCATAATTTTTAAATATATTAGTATCTTATTTTATAATATAGATTAAACATAATTTTACTAAATAGGATTTTTACAAAAAACAATCATGGTTTGCTATAAAACATATTTCTCATGAAATTGCAGAATGCAGGTTAATTGAATAATTTCCTATATTAACCTTTGCAGAGCCCAAGTATAATGAGTTTACACACGGGAATCTAAGCAAGATTTACGATAAAATTAAGTCCTCGAAAGGCCGCCTTCGTGTAGTAAATAACTTACAAAAATAGAGTCTTATTACCTTGCACTGCGCCGTAAATAGGTAAAATATGCAACAGCACAAACGAGCGATAATTCAAGCGAGATAATTCCTCAGCTGATGGTTAATTGTTATATTGACCAACCGATGCAAGCGGAAATATTAAAAGAATATGTAAACGGCGAGAGTGTTCGAGAGATGATTATTTACATACAATATTACTATGTTTCATGCACACGAGTCTGACATTTCTACTGTAATTATTAATAAAAATAACAATTTGAGCGTGAGCGTGCGCGTTTATAATTTTTTTCCAGGGCAATTACGTGTGAAACCAGTCTATAGGTAGCAAATGTTGTTAATTAATGTCAAGAGTTGGAAATGTCACTCTCGCTCTATACTCTGATTCCAGAGTAAAACAAAGAAAAAAACAATTCCCACGCGCCGAGTGTCGGAGATTTATCATTAATTCTTATTTCCCTCAGAAAACGCTGCAACAATGCAAATATGGTGCTCGTTGTGCGCGCTTTTAATTTTTAATTGCTCGGCTTTTATATGGAGCGAGGGAGAATTTTCATTCGCTACTTTTACTCTCTTTCCTGGATGTGCGAGTGGAAACTGGGTTAAGCAGATGAACGCGCGTGTTATTTCTTGTATTTGTGTTCCGAGATGTGTTTGCCAACGACAGTAATTGTGCGGCGTTGAACAAAGAGAGAGCAAAAGTGACACTCTCCTAATTACCTTGCTCCTTTTTCTTCTCCAACTTTTGCTGACTCAGCAAGGTCCCATAACTCACTGCCGCTTCCTCTAATTGCGAACATTAGCAGAGATGGAAAGAACTGCGGCTTCTTCACTTTACAAGGCAGTTAAAAAAAAATCCTGACAATTTTTTCCTTTTTTCTGCGGCACGAAAGACTTTTGCTATGAAGGAATTTCAATGTTACTTCCTTTTAAACGCCTGTCATTTTGATTTTCACAGTTAACCAGTGGCAAAAATACATCCAGCATTTTTTTTTTGCAAAAATGAAATAAATTATTTGATATTGGCCATCAAAATAGAATTTAAATTACTGTCACATATAGTCTTGGAACGAGTCTCATTTAGATAACCTAAACAAGCAGAGCTCTTAAATCGCCTTAAATTTTTTAAATATTGTATGTCACATTTTTTCTTAAACACTTTTGAATATTGATTTGATGCAAATTTTTTTCGGAGAATTTTCAATTTTAATTAATGCTTGTTCTTTCTCAACATAATTGAAATTTATATGTTGGAAAACTACAACATTAATTAACTGTATAGAAAAAATTTCTATTAACTATCATTATCTCGCATTATCTTCTTTGAAAACCAGTCACTTCAACGATTATGAAAAGAAATTAAATTAAAAAATTTATACAATACCAATGTTTGTCCACACTGAAATCTGTCCTATAATTTAAAAACATCACCTGCAACTTAAGTGTTTCTAAGACATATTGCTTACCTGGGAATTTTTAACTAAATTTTACATGTACAAAATTGAATTTTTGCAAGCTTTATTTACAGCATATTGTATTACAATTGGTTTGGGTCAGATGAAAAATTATCAATACAACATTAAATTATATGCAAGAGACAAGCAAAATATTTTAATTTTCATCAATAAGCAAATCAGTTTTTTTTAGAATATAGTTTTAAAAGTGAGAAATGCGTGCTGCAGTGTTGATCTTTAAATGGCAATTTGCTGTAATTATTAAATAATTTCTGAAAGTTTTACTTTCCATGTATTTTCTTTCTGGTCGCATCGCTGAGTTTTTGGTGGTGAGAGAAACTCCAAATATCTCCCTGTGGAATCCTTTCGAAAAAGCCACAAAATATTTTCGAGTCATTGTCGCGGAGGCCTATTAGTCAAGTGCGGAAGATGGATGGGCTGATGACATTAGCCGCACGTGAGATTTGATTGATGATTGCGTCGTCGCGGTTGTCGTAATGGATGTTATTCCGCGCTGCCGGGATGCTGACCATAAATAAAACAAACGCTTGCATTCTCGTGTATAGAATGCAATTCATAAAAAGCAGTTTGATAAAACCAGAGGCGGGCGGGCGGGCGGACGTGTAAGTTGCGTGGGAGCTACGCGGTAATGCATTTCATAAATTTTTACTTGCTGGGTGTTGCAGCCGTGATTTTTCATGCGGTTACGTCAGCGCTGGGTGTTGGGACTCTGTTCATTGACTTTCAGTTGAGCAACTATTGTCTTCTCTGGTTTTGCCTCATATTTTATTCTGAAAAGGTTCAACAGACGGAAGATATGAAAAATTCATAAACAATGAGACCTTTAGGAACAGCGGAGCCCTACTTTTTATTGTAATTACCATCATTAAATAAAAATAAATTAATTAAATGGCTGTTTTTTTTTAATTTTTAAGAATTCAGTGCTAGTCCATAGCAACCAATTTTACGGCTGAACAAAATTTTCAAAATTAACTTGAATCCTTGTTGAAATTATGAAAATATTATATCACGCAGATTATAACTTTTTTAATTGCCTTTAGGATTTCATCTTTTCGTTACAAATCAGTGTGGACCTAAATTATAAAAATAAAACCGACACGACATTCTATTATATTTTCTTCTCTTACAATTATTGATTAATATTAATCGCCAAAATCTTTTGGACTATTCCTTTAATTACGACTTTTAAATTTAAATTTATAGCCGTTTTATAGGAGAAAATAGATTCCTATCCATTCTACAATAATAAATAAAACAAACTGAATCGCCTTGACTAGGTTTATGAACTTATGAATGGTTGAATTCTTAATATTATTATTACTGCAATTGCTAACACATAATCAATATATTTAAAATATACAAAGAAAAAAAAAACATTTTGGGTAGAAATTGATAAGTGGCATATAAAAATTAATTACGTTATTATATTATTAAATCAAAAAAGTATAAATAAATATTTAAAAAAAATAAAAAAATTTAAGATTTTGATTTATATCAATTTAAATTAACTTAAAATTGAAAACTTTTTACTAAACCATCTTATATTATGTTTTTTCTTTTACATTTTCTGTAAAATAATATTGCTATGCTATTTTTTTTCATGGTTTTGATGAGTAAATTAAAAGACAATCACACATATTTTCAACTGAAACAGTCGTTCCAACTGCTCCACTATATATTTTGTTAGAAACACTATATTACAGTACAGCTTAGGGCGCGTTTAAATATTGTTATTATTCACAATGCCCTGTGGTTCATTATACATAATAATAATCGTAATAATCATAATATTCGAGGGGCAATAAATACACCACGTATCTGCGCACGGGCGCTTTTCGCAGCGCCGAATATTTCTGTTTTTTTTTTCATCGTCATAGAGCAATTAATTAATTTCTGCGCTGAAAATCTCAACACTCAGTTTCTGCCACTTTCTGAATTCGTACAAGTTTGCGGAGGCGGCCCTGCGTCCCTTAGTTAATTGGAATATCTACACCGAGGCAGGGGTCGCCGCTCGCAGTTTGGTCTGGGAAATGAATAATTTGATTCGGTCGTTCGTTACTCTTACGATGGTCACATTGAAAGATCTCTGGATTTTGTGTGAATCAACAACAAGCACTGCCGTGATGGGAAAAAATGAATCGGTGCGGCCGAGAGACGAAGGAAGAAAGAAGAGATAATTTTCTCGAGGCCGCCGCTAAACAATGATATGGACGCTTTTTTGTGCTGGACAAGCAAAAATTTAAAAAAAAAGTTCAGTTCAAATTAATCGATTGGTCTCGCTTGCGTGTTTTTAAGTAAGAGCTGCTGCTGCGGTAGGAATTAAAAAATAAATAACGTAAAATGAGTATCAAAGACAAGCCTTTTTTCTCAGTATTTTTTTTTTCATCTCGCAATATTTTGACACTTCAACACAGACAGATTCATCTCAAGTACAAGTAAGCTGCATTTAACTGCATTCGCTTTTCTCTCTCGAACGTCCAGTTATAATTTTTTTATTTTTACCAAAGTCTCCTCCACTTTCACAAAAAAAGACATCTGAACAAAATCCGGAGGCACAGCCAACAATGTTGGGAAATTTCTTTAGCAGAGTAATATTTTAATCCATCTTACATTTGGTGCGTGATTGAGTTGCCGTTTTGAGGGAGAAAAAAGGGTGCTTGGTCATTAAAGTGCGTAGTGACCTTTAGGGGAGAAAAACATCAGGGGATGAGAAATTACGATAAAATCACAGAACAAAAAATAAATAACAAAACTCGCAAGAAAAAATATTGGGGCTGGGGTCTAATTACGTCGTCATTGCTTGTAGTAATTGATGATTTTTTTTTCTGTCAGGGTCGCGTAAAATGATATAACAATGATTAATCCTCAATTAATTGCAGTATTCACAGTTACGTTAGTTGAATTTTTTATATCAAAAATGTTGATTCCTGTGAGACATACACACCGATACATGCAGACATGATTGCTACCTAAATACTCAGTATATTTATGTATAAAGAAGAATCTTTTCTCCACTGGTCTATTTTCAATACTGCTGGTACTGCACACCGATAATTATCAAGTATGAATCAATCGATTGCCTTAGAACATTTTCTGATCCGATTAGGAGCCAATTTCAATTTCACATACCCATGCGCCAACCGAAGAACAGTAAAATTTCAAAATTTCGTCAGTCAATTTTGGAAGGTGAACAAATGAAAAAAAAAATCGTTTTCTTTAAAACCCTTGCTAGTTTGTTACTAACGTTTTGACAATTTTGGAAATAAACTCAAGAGAGCTTTGAGAAATAAAAAAGGCCCAAAACTGATCCGTAACAAAAATCCGAACGCAAAAATTTCACATCATCGAAGCTCTCGAATAGTGGCTCTCAGCGAGTGTGTGTGTTTCAAATGTGTTTTGTAATTTTTCTCTCTATAATTTTCATCACAGATATACTCTTTCAAAATATTAAATACGCTCTCACGTGGCTGGCAAAGGTCTCTCGCACGCACACACACCGTAGCAGCAATAAATAACTAACAACAACGATCAATGCGCGGCTCATCGTTCACTATCTCGACGACTGAGACTCGGACTCCTTTTTGTGCAAGTCCATGTCGACGAGCCGCGACGGCGGCGTCGCCAACTTATGCGGCAGCGGAGGCCCCGGGGGCAGCAGTTTGGGCGACGGTCCCGACCGCGGTGGCAGGAGCCCCGAGGGCATCTTCCCCGACGGCGGGGTGGGGGCGCCCAGGAGCGGGGAAAGTCCCGAGAAGAGGTGGTGCGCCGACGGCGGAGGGGTGGGCAGCTTGTGCGAGTTGGGAGGGGGCTGCGGCATGCCCTTGCGGTCCATGAGGGGAGGGCCGTACAGGGACTGCTGGTTGGCCAGGGCGGCCGCCTCTTCGCGCTCCCGGAACATGGCCGCGGCGGCCGCGTGGGCGGCCAGCGGGTTGAACCGCATGGCCATCGGGTCGAAGCGGTGAGGGTGGTACGGGTCCCACGAGGGGGCGGCGAAGGGGTGGGGTGGGAGGGGAGTGCCTGCAGGTGATGGGAGGCCGCGGGGCAGGGCGTGTTGGCGCGCCATGTACATGTATCGATCCCTCTCCATGAGGGCGGCGGCCATTTTTTCGTCCTCGGCCCTGCGTTCCTCCTTGATCTTGAGGTCCCCGTTTTCGGTGGGGGTGCGGAGGGGGGAGCGGTCACGGTGGGACATGCTGGGCGGCTTCCGGTCTGGCGGGGTGGCGGCCGTGTTCCGGTGGTGGTGACTAGAGTGGTGGCCGTGGTGGTGCATCTGCTGCTGCTGCCGCTCCAGCATCAGCTTCTTCTCCCGCTCGCGCTCCCGCCGTTCCATCTCGCGCTCCCGTTCGCGCTCCCGTCGCTCCTTCTCCTCCTGAGACTTTTTGCGCGCCAACTCGGCGGCTGCTTGCTGGGCGGCGCGTTCCTTCTCAGCTCTTTCTCTCTCCAGCTCTGCGCGTTCCCGTTCCCGTTTTAGCCTCTCCCGCTCTTCCATCTCCCGCCTTTCCAGTTCAGACTTGCCCAAGGAAGACCAGGGGCTGCCGTGGGTGGGCGGTGGAAACCCTGGTGCCGTCCGATGAAGCCTAAAATTTGAGTAAAGACATTAATTTAAAAATTTGTATCTTCAAATATTAAAAGAGGTATTTTAAAAAAGCTTTTTGGGTGGTTTTACTGAAACACAGTGCAAGGAAGTTTGGCTTTCAAGAATGGAATGTATACCAAAATTATTGACATTTACCGACACAGAAAGTTTATCTTTTTGTAGCTTTTGTATCTAAACAAAAAAAAAAAAAACGGTAATAACAGCAAATATTTAATTTCGCAGAATTAATAGTTCAATTATATCGTTAATACATTAAAAAAAAAGCAAGACATTGATTTCGAGATTGGAAGGAAGTTTTCTATCATGAATTACTCAAAGTATAGGTTAAGGAGGTATTATTATAAAATTATTACATACAAAATGTAGTTCTAAAAAAGTTATAATATTGCAGAATTAAAAGAGTTTCAATAATTTTGTATTATTAATTAAATTTTTAAAATAAAATTAAAAAATTATATTAAAAATAACTAATAAATTTGGCAATAATTTAAAAAAAAATGTAACATAATGAAAGATGTAAGTATAATTTAAAAAAATGGTAGTTTCTTTTTTGTAACTGTTTTAATTAATTAAAGAATGTAATTTTTAGTAATTGTTTAATAATTTAGCTGACAGAATTAAAGATTTAAATTTGAGGTTGTATTTTAGAGAAAATTCCTTACCTATTCCACTGTTCATGAACAGGTGACGCCATCGGTCCCAACGGGCTGATTTCGCGGCCCGGAAAGACGCCTGGCCCGCCCAAGGGAGACATGCCAGCAAACGGCGAGGCACCAGGAGGCGCAAACCCAGGAAATCTGGGGAAAGGCGACATGTGGGGTGACAAGAAGGACCCGGGCGGCGGCTCGAACGGCGCCGGCCTGTGGTGAGGTGGACCCGGAGGCTGCAGGGCTGAAAACGCGGTCGAGCCGGGATTCAGCGACGGAGGCGGCAAAGGGCCTCCAAGGAGGTGGTGCGGTCCCGACGGCGGCCTCAGGAGATCTGCAGGGAGCTGCTTTCCGGCCGCAATGGCCGCCGATTTTGCCTCGGCCGCCTTGTCCTGCTGCCTGTAGTGAATCTCCCAGGCGATTCGGACGTGCATGGCGTTCCACTTGCCAGTTTTCTGAAATTTAATTAATTCAATTAAATAATGCCAAGGAGAATCTGATTAATAATTTGTATTTTACTTCTAAAAATCATTTGAAAAGTGCGTTCATAATTTTTTTTATTATATCTGCTAAAATTGAACCACAATTCTGCTCATTATATATTTAATAAATTGAACACAAAATAAATAATGACAAAACACTCTATTTTCATGTAAACTCTGATTCTAATTTTTATTTTCCTAAGAAAGAATCCTAAAGTTAAGCACTTGTCATGCACCTTTGAAATTAAATAAAAAAAACTTTGGTAATTATCATATGCCTGCAACCAATTAAGCAGCAGTCGGAATTAATGGCGCTCAAAAGCAATTATTATGTTTTGGAAGTAATGCAGGAACCTACCACTGGTTTGGGTTTTGACGGGTCTGGTCCAATCTGCAATCAGGGAAACAGGGGTTAGCATGCAACATATGTGAGGCGGCCAGCAACTGTCATTGGACCATAGTGAGGTGCAAAGCAAGCCAGAAAAGCAAGCACGAGTGGATGTCACTCTGCAACTCACAATCAGGCTGAACAAACACCTTTCTTTAGTCAACAAGCAGACCAATTAAAATTTCCATTTACATTGATAAATATGGTTTTTTGTTATGTCTCGCAAGCACGAACTTCTAAATTCTCTTTGAACAAGGTTACCTTGGGGGCGAACGGCGTGAGTGTCGGTGGATTGAAAGGCGTGCCCCCGATTCCGTGGTGCAGAAGTCCAGGGGTGAAGGAGTTGTAGGCTGACAGGGCCAAACTAGACTGCCTGTAGAAGGGGCTGTCTACGCCGGGCAGTTTTGGAATGTCTTTAAACTGCAACGCACACAAGTCGAATTGTGGTTAATTTTGAAAGTAAATCAATTTAACGAGAAATTAAAAATTAATTCTAGAAGGTAATAAGGAACTCACTTTCTTGGGCACTTGCTTGAATGCTCTCCGCTTTAAAGTGTGATGGAAATTGTGATTCGGGATTAAACTTAAGTCTGAGGACTCACCTGGCTAACCATGGGCGGTGGCATCATCGAGGGGATGATAGGGGAGGTGTGCTGGTGGACGTGGGTGTGTTGGTGTTGGTGGTGGTGCATCTCGGCGCGCAGGAAGTGCGGCGGCCCCAGGGGCGGCCTGTCCTGACTCGAGGCCAGGAATCGCGAGTCCAGTTCGCGCCGCAGCATGTCCGCGCTGGTCGTGAACAGCGACTCGGCCGAGAAGGGGTTGGGGTTGGGCGCCGAAGTGGTGGCCGTGGCCGTCGCGGCCGTCGAAGAGCCCGAGCTTGACGAGACCGGGGGTGGCAGTGGAGGCGGGAAAAGCTGCTGGGCCGAGGTAGGAGGGGCGAACGGGCCCGTCGAAGAGGTCGATGGCCCTGAGGAAGCCCCTGACGAGGCGATCTGGAGGGGGTTGACCGCGCCCCAGGGTGGGGGCGCGATGCTGGCAGAAACCACGGGAGACTTGGCACTGAAGCTGAGTAGGCCGCCGGAGGAGGAAGTCGAGGCGCTCGGGGTGGTTGTGCTGGCCGGGCCCTGCGAACTGCTTGACGCGGACGTCGAGGCGCTTCTGCTCAGACTGCTCACATTTCTAGAATGATTAAAAAATTAATTAGTTTTCGGAAAATTAAACAAATTTTAGATTTAAAATTAATTTACTAAGAAATCTTTGATTTGCCAATTTAATTTTGAATAGAAAGTTGGCAAAAAATGGTTTAAATTGAATTATTTATATTCTTTTCTACTAAAAATGTGATTGAAAGAGTAAAAAATTAGGACTTTCAGCAAGAAAATTAACTTATTTTTTTTTTTTAATTCTGTATTGACTGAATAAATTTAATAATAATAAGAAGGCTTATGAACCATCATAATTATTTAAAAATTATGAATTTTTCAACCAATCTAGGAATTTTCTATAATTTACATTTTTCTAAGAGCTAAAATTTATGAATAATTAAGAGTGAAGCAAAAAAATCAAAGATTTCTCCATTAATGAGAGAATATTTCATTTTATACCCAAGAAGGCTGTAGATGGCAGCACTACCGTTTCTAATTAGTCAAGTGTTTGCTCCTGTCAAATTTGCTTTGCTTACCCAAAGAGATCTCTGCTGTCCCCGCTTGGTGTGTGAGGTCTTCCAAGGGAGGACGTGGAGTTTGTATCACGATTGGCCGACGACGAGGCGGCCGACGCGCTGCCCGAGCTGATGGCCGGGGTCCAGAGCGAGCCGGCGGCGGGCGGAGGCAGCAGCGGCGACCCCGAAGGCGCGCCCGACGAGGACTTGCTGGGCGCCGGGGATTTGCTGAGGCGCTGCTTGAACACAAGAGCGAGTCGTCTCATTAAAAAACGCGCAGTCCAAATTAAAAATAATAAATGAAAAGATCAAAGAATTTCATTTTGACTCACAGCGTACAAGATTCTGAACATCTTTGCCGCTTTACTTGACTGCAAATATTTAATGAATTTAGACGGAGAAAGAGAGACAAGAGGGAGAAAAAAAGAGGGCAGGAATTTCATCGATTTTCGCATTTTATTAAAAGGAGCAGGAAGAGAGGAAGCCGCTTTTTATCAAATCTGGAGGAGAGAAAAATTCAGTCTGCGGCCGTGAAGCGAGAAAGGAGCGGAGACTAAACGGAATTTCACGCCGCTTTGTGGCTCGGTGCAGTGTTTATTGTTGTTGTGATTTATCCTTCTTTCGAAATTCCCAGCTTTTTCTTTCAACATTTAGCACGCGTGTAAAAGCGTAAAGCCGGAATCCGCATTTCCCGCGAATCGTTAGTGTTTTTCAGTGTCGGCGTGTAAGCCCGGCTCGCTTGCTTACGCGCGAGCAAAAAACTTTTCACACGGCTTACTACATTTCTCATTACTCGCGGCTGCCGCTTTTCATGCCCAAAAAGCGGCGGCGGCGGCGCAAGAAAAAAGTTGCCCGCTCGGATTTACATCACAGGTTCTTTCACGGCCGCTGTTGTACCATGCATAATTAAGTTCCTTTTTTTGAGTTGCTCTCACTCTGCACTGGCGGACGACGAGTCGAGCCTGCTGGCTTTACTAATTACACACCGGCGAAGGGCGGGGTTGCAGAAGCAAGAGGCAAAGGCCAGAATCAACAAGGCTGCTGGAAATTATTCCGGCACCCTGCACACACCACCGTTTTTTTCCAGCTTTGAGGTTTTCAACGGCGTCACGAGGGGGATGTTAAAAAAAAAATATGTATATTTACAGGGGAAAAATGCCGAAATTCGTCCGTCCGCAGACGCGTGACGTCTGTTTTAAAAGGGCTTAGCGCGCGCACACGTCGTTCGTAAATGGAATAAAGGCAGCCGTCCAGCAGCGCGAGGTTTTTTGCCAGAGATATTCGCATTTATATGGAAATGGAGATTATAATTTTGCTGAGCTCCGAAGAGGCGGCTTTGCGCGCGGAAAATGTTATTTAGGAACAGACACAGTGCGGGGCGTTTTTCACTCTGGGAAAAAGCGCGCAGCAAGAGAGGATTACATTCGTTTTGTAATTAAACGCCGCCTTTAACACTGGAAATTCGAAAAAAAAGGCTTAAGAGATCAGAGTTTATTTTTAGCGTAAAACTCTCTATGAAAATTAAATCCATTCAAATTTCGGCAACAAAATCACTCATGAAAAATAGAACATAGCTCTCTTCAACAGCATTTGAGAGTAAAATTTATACATTTTTTTCATTTTTCCACTCCTAAACTAGTTCTGAAATAGGATCTTTGCTAACAATTTAATTTTTAAATAAATTACACTGACTTTTCGTAAATAGAAGACAAAGAAACTTGAAAAGAAATATTTTTCTTTCAGAATTATATTAAAAATAAAAAATAAAATCCTTAGCTGCGACTTCAAAATTAAAAATTTTGTCTCAAAAGACACCCTTTTTCACAAGGGAATGAAAAAATAAATAAAAAAAGAATAAAAAAAACACACATTCATAAAATATAAGAAAAAATTATTAGATTCGAATTTTATAGATTAACACTATTTGTAATTAAAAAACTAATAAATGGGTGAAGCAAAACATGTTCCCGAACTCAAAGTTAATGTTGGATCGTTTAAATATATTTAATACAAAAATTAATGTATGCAACCGTTGCGACAGGCATGCGTATAAGTTGCATATTTCCGCCTTTGCAAGCAAGCCGATCTATAAAAAGCGTCAATAAAAGTGAAAACTTTACTCTTTATTGAATTCAAACTCGCGGGAATAGAATCAATATCGAGACTTGAGTGTACCCTTCTGCAAGTCGAGCGGAAGGCGAGTGCTTTTTATTGGGACGCATCATCGGCGGCGGCGGCGGGAAATGGAATAAAACGGAGAATAATCGCATTCCTCGGGAGAAAAGCGGCGAGGCGGATCCAATTTGCAAATCAAACGCTGATCAGATAAACTTTTTGCCGGCGGATTACGTTCAGGATGTTGATTGCGAGAGAGGCCATCAATTATTCAGGCGGCAGCAGGCGCGCAGGTAGATTTTCATCCGGCCGAATCTCTTTTCCGCTCGCGCGCCGCTAAATGGAAAAGAGCACCGGCTGGAAGTACACAAGTGAGCAAGCAAGCCGAGTGAGTGGGTGCACGAGGGGTTTGTCAGAATTTCCGCTCGTTTAGTTCGCAAGGGAGTTGCTCGCTAATACACGGGCGGCGTAATGCGGTCGCTCAATTCTCACTTAATCTCCACGGCGCGCGCTCTCAACTGAATTAGCTGCTCTCTCTCTCTCTCTTCTCGCTCGCATTCGCCTGCTCGCTGCTGCTGCTGTTAATTAATTAAAAAGGCACTAATTGGATTCGTTCACCCACGATTCCCGGGTTCGTTTGTACATTTATATTTGCAGTTGTCGACGAAGAGCAGAAAAAGAGAGAGAACGCGCGCTTTTCCGCCCAAGTTGAGATTATTTGGACTCTCTTTCAAAAAGAGACAGAGAGCCCAAAGCACAAGTAAAGTTCCGACAACTCTGATCTTCTTCTTGTTTGGTGGAAGATAAAAGTGGTCTTTTGACTCTTAAATTAATTGAAGGAGGTTTGGCAAACGAAAGAAAGAACGCTTGCAGGACTGAAATAACAAAATAGCCACAAAAACTACAGGTTATTTTCTTTTTGCAAAACACGGCAATATTTTCATTTGAACGTCTTTTCATGATATTGAATTCTTTGTTTTGTAATAAAATCAAGAAATAATATTATTAAATTAGAAGAAAAAATAATTCATCAATTGAAACAAAAATATTTATAGTAATTTTTGTACATTAAAATACTCTGCAAAAATCAACTTTATTTTAAATATATTTTTTGGAAAAATTTCAAGTTATTAAAAATCAACTTTTCAATTAATTAACTGACAATAATTTGCAAAATTTGTATTACCGCTCTTATAATTAGATGTAAATTGGATGTAAAGATCAGTTTTAGATTGTAGGAATGCCATAACAGAAATTCCTGTATAGCAAGCATATTTTCAATTAAAATTTTAATTCATTTCACGTAAAATTTTTAATTTTAAGATTTTATACCAACAACCTCACAAATGTAATATTAAGATTTTAATAATGATGTTTGCCAAGAGTTGCCATCAAAATTCATATATTTATTGCTATACATTTCAACAACTATAATATAAACAAAAAAAATTTAAATTTTATTATTAAATGCTACTTGCAAAGAGAATAATATTTTTAAAATAAATCAATCATAATAATATAATAATAACATAATATTAATAAAAATCTAGCAAAATTTATCACGATTAAAAAAAAATTGTAAATAATTTCTGAATTTATATTATACATAGGTCCTTTTTTCAGATAAACTTCAACATAATTTCAAAGCAACCCACAAATATTAAATAGACGAAACTTAACGTACTCAGCAAATACAAGTTAAAATATTGAGAAAACCATTAGAAAGCAGCAGAAAACATTAACTGAACTGAAAAGAATCAAGATTAAAACAGATAAAAAGGTAAAAAATAATGATAAACCTTGTGCTTTTCTCTTTTTGCATTTAAATTATTAATTAGAGCCAAAACAAGAAAATGCACTAATGTTGAAATACAAAACTTATCTCCTTAGTGGTTTGCTTTGCATAATTATGATCAATAATTTTACAATAAAACTGAAATAATATAAAATTAACGTAAATTATAAAGTTACACAGCAATTTTATTAAAATGTTTCTGTTATTCAAAAAAATAATCTAGCGTAATATTTTTATAATCATTTTTTTCCAGACCGTTCTTGTAAATTGCAAACTTAAGTATTAACTGAATGTACAATTTAAAACTTCCTCTCTTTTTGTAAGTAATTTCAACTCCATACCTCTCTTTCTGTCCACAATTCTCACTGACTGAAATATGAAATTCTTCATTTGAGTGAGAAATTTTGCTTACCTCGTGTCTGTGAATGGAAGCGGCGGCTCCAGGTGACGAGGGGGCCAAGTAGGGCGACGGCGCCGTCCCTGGCACCGTCACCGACGAGTACGGCGCGTACAGCGGCGGGTAGGATGGCGCCGCCGATCCGGGTGGCGCCGCGGCCGCCGTGTCAGTGACCATGGCGGCGACGGCGGCCAGGGCGGAGGGTGGCGGCGACGCCGACGAGAGCACCCTTGGAGGCGGCGAGTCGGGCGACGCGCGAGCTGACGCCGGCTGCAGGCAGTTGAGGGGTCGCCGCGACGGTCGGTGTGGCACCCTCAGCGAAATCACCCCCGGCAGAGAGGGTGCCGGCGTCGGGGGCGGCGGCAGGTTGGTGGCCGCGGAGCTTGTGGGGATGGCGGCCGCGCTCGGGGCCGTCGCTGAACGGCGCGGGCTGGCCGGCAGCTCGCCTGCTGAAATTTTCAAATAACATTTTTGTTTCTTCTCCCAAGTTTATCGATTTTTTTTATTAATTCTTTGGTAAAATGAGAATGACTAGGACAAATGCCTGATCAGATTATCATTCTTTCCATCAAGTTACTCTTTTACATATGGATAAATTTTTTAATAATTAATTGATTTTTTTTTAAATCACCATGCTAATAAAACTAAAATTAAATTTTTTTTGTAGTAACTATTTTGAAATTATTTTTGTACATTAAAATCCTCAAAATCAACTTTATTTTATATCAATATTTTGAAAAATTTCAAGTTATTAAAAATCAACTTTTCAATTAATTATCTGACAATAATTTGCCAAATGTGCATTACCGCTCTTATAATTAGATGTAAACTGGATGTAAAGATCAGTTTTAGAACATTCCTGTTTAGCAAGAATTTTTTCAATTAAAATTTTAATTCATTTCGCGTAACATTTAGAATCTTTATTCGCCAAAAAACCGATAAACTGTAAAATTAAGATATTAATAATGATGCTAACCAAGAGTAACAACTAAAATTTATATTTTTAGTGCAATACGTTTTAACAACTATATATTAACAAAAAAAATTAAATTTTTTTATAAAATGCTACTTGCAAAACAAAAATTTATTTTAAATAAATTAATCATAATATACCAATAATATAATATTAATAAAAATCTAACAAAATTTTTCAAGATTAAAAAAATTGTAAATTAAATTTTTTTTTCAATTAAATTTTTTTTAAACTTTTTCCTCAAAAAAGACTTGTCGCAAATAAATTATAGCATGCAGAAAACCGTCAAAAAAATAAACTACATACAAGATTTACTTGGCTGTCAGACGACATTTCAGACGACCATTCTAACAGACAAGTGGCTATGTATGTAGTTTTTTTTTCATCAGAACCGGCAAGAAGAATCCAACCGCGCTCGAAATAATTCTCCGGCCTCCGTCTTTACGGCGGAGCAAATTTTTAATAGGCGCGTAAAAATAAACGTATACAACCGATGATGTTTTTATAAACTCACATTTCCTGGATGCAGTAAAAAGATCAGAGCCAGTATCAGAAGCCTGTGAACATAAAAATAAAGGCATTAAATAATCTGAGCGCGGCAGAGGCACGTCGTAAAAAAGTGCTGGACGCGCGCAATAACAATCATGGGGCGAGCGGGACCATTACCGCTCGGCTCGCCGGGTTGTAAAAGCGGACAATAGAAATAAGCAGCGGAATTAGTGCTCTTCGGGGACGCCATTTGTGTGGACGACTTCAGCGTGCGTCGCATCCGATTTGCAATCGTAAATCGTCAGGAGAGGTTCAAGAAAAACGGCACACAGCAGACGAGTCTCAAAATGAAATGTGGAGAGAAAAGCTCTTGCGCAGATCGGCGATTGCGAGACTTTGCTTAGCAAGCAAGTTTTCATTGCGGTCTCGAGATTTGATATCGACAACTGCCTCGTTTGTGCGGCATCAAGTTTGATCAAAGATAGCGTGCTTGAGTTTTTTTTTTTTTTGCACTTTACGCTATACATTCCAATAAAAGTAGAGTTGGTGGTTTTGCACACAAAACACACAGATATCTCTGGATATGTCAGGTAAAAAAATTGCAGTTTATTTTTAAATATTCTCTAAATTGTCTGTAAATAATGTTCAATCTCACTATCATCCATTTCTTGTTTAAAGAAATTTGCATCAATTAAAAAAAATATCAATAAAAGGAAGATTCATGTGTGTTTTTTATTTTAAATAATAAAAAAAAAATACAATATAGATAATATTGTGAAAATGATTGTTATCAGGACCATTTATTTGAGCAAATATTTGGGCCAAATTATAGCCAGAAATATTTTTTGAACAATATTAATTCATTTTTAACGCCAAGAAGTACAACAGGACAAAAATGTTATTTTTATCTCTACCTCAAATTTATTTAATCATAGCATAGGCTCTGGAAGCCACACTTAGAGCAAACTTATAAGTAGTTTATGACAATTTCTACAAAATAAAATAGTAAAATCTTGATAATAATCAGGTTAATATTTACTAAATTTTCATGCTAAAAGATAGTCTGCCTCTATATATCTTTGCAAAGAATGAATAAAACTCAAATTTATTGTAATATTCTTGATAATTCCTTCCCTTTTTGCATTATTTATAATTAAAAATCACTTCAAACACTCAATCATTTCACCCCTGCAGGACGGTTTAAGATTGAAATTTCTGAGCAATATTCCCGGTGCAATTTATCAACACACCCTCTTTCTCCACTTCTTCATTTTTATTTCCACAGCATATTGGAAACCTCGTGCTTTCCACCAGAGAGGAAAAAACAAATTGCCCGTCGCACCATAAACTCGTGGCCCGTCCTATAAATTACTCGCCGTTTGGAGTAAATTTCCCGGAAAAGTATATCCATCCGTCCCCCCTGCACCGCATGAATACTTGATAAGGGCGTGAATTCCACGCCGACATAATAAATATAAGAAAAGTTCATCATTTCGTGCGCGACCACATTACATTTGGGGGCAAAAAAGGGGGCGTCTTCGGTGGTGGCAAGTGGCTTTTATTATCGAGCGAGAGACCTCCCTGGACAGCCATTACTTCTTGGCGCAGGGGGCCGAGTGGGGTTTGCATTGATGAGCTCTAAAAGGCCGGAAAATTCGCGTCGCAAAAAGTTACGGCCGGCCGTGAAAATCCAAGAGGGCCCGAGAGTTACGCGACCAACCCCTGGCCAGGGCACAAATTAATGTGGCAATTCTTTTAACATTATTGCCGGCGTAATATGAAAAGATAACACGCGCCCGGCAACAATAAAAAACACAGCCAAGAGAAATGGTTTATTTCTTCGCCGGCTGCTTTTACGGCCGTCGAGGGGCTGTTAATGTATCGCATTTTGCGGCAATAATTCCGCAGATTAAAACTAACGACCAACAGAGGATGGTCCCTGTTTTTTATTTTCTCTGTTTGACACTACTTTTGACGTCTTACTACGTATTTTTTTTCTTCATATTGTTAAATATTGCGGCTTTTAATTGGTATTAGGCTCGTAAAAATTAAGTCCGGAGGCAGTTTGGCTCTTTTATGGCGCGCACAAGAAGATTTGCGCCGATCGTAAATTAGATTTTTGACTGTTTTCCATCACGCGGCTCGATTATTGTGCCGTAAAGCCGGCCATTAAACCGTGATTATGCCGACGAGACCGGCAGATAAAATCGGCTTAAATATAATTTTACTGTCGCGCATTTACGGAATAAAACGGGTGTAATAATGGGCTTTCCCCCGAAAGTGAATTTCGTATACGCCGGCCATCGTCACTGCATAGGGTAGGGGATTTTGGCAGTTTGATGCAGACAAAAGTATTTAAAGCGCTTTTGCAAGAGCCGCTTTTAGTGTTACGAGCTGCAATACCAGATAAAATGACACCGCTGTTGCAACGAGGGAGGGAAATACGTGAAATGTGCATAAAATGCCCTATCCTATCTCTCTTGCTGTTGGTTTTTTCCATTGTCCAAAAACAAAGATAACACGGAAACACTACAATGACGTTAGTTGATTGCTCAAAATGCAGCCAGAAAAATTAATTGTTTAAATTAATATAAAAATACGCTAAATGAAATTTATTTCTTTTTTTATTCCGAAGAAAATCGCTTAATTTAATATTTAATTTTCTGTACATTAAATTTTTAGCAGCTTTCATACAATATTCTCCTTTACTGGATAATTTGGAAATGAAATTTACTACAAATTGATAAAAAATAGTAATTTTGACTTCAGTTTTAAGAAGATTTTACAATTGCACTGCCTCAATTAATATGAAAATTTTCACGCTATAAGCGGGTTAATTATCCTGCATGTTTATAATTTTAGTATTTCCCATCATTTCCTTGTTATTCTTTTCAGTACACATTCCCTCTGTTTGAAAACTTCAATGCTTTTTCAAAATATTTGGTTTTGATTGCAAATCTAAGAAGATAAACATTGGTCACAATAATTTCCCCAGCACAAATTTTTGCCTAACCTTCTGAGTGAAAATATTTTCAGGTCGCGCACGTTCCACGAGTTGTTAAAATAATTGCCGCTCTCTATCTTATCGTGGCATCGACGTTGTTTTACAACATGTGCATATATTTCAGCAAACATGCAGTGCAAAGGGCAATCAAAGAACACGCTGTTTAAAAAAAATGCTAACAGGGAAGACACGCGCCTCGTCTACAATCAGCAGAAGCTGTATTTTTTGGCACGGAAAAGGTCACCGGGATCAATAGAACAATAAACATGCGGGATATAATTTATATATAAATTTATCTATCTAGACTTGTGTGTGCATGTTGGAGCCGGAGTGCAATAAAAACTAGAGACGGTGGCAGGGAAGATAATATGGCGCACACAAAACTCCTTTGTTTCTCCGACGGACCATAAAAATAAAACGATGATAACGTTATTGCTGGCCGATTGATTTTCATGTTTGCAGTCTCATCTTTTCCTTTATATTTATATAGATATGTGTGTGAGTTTCAGAATTGCACAAGGAAACGGTTGGGGTGCTCCATCGTTTCTTGTAAGTTATATTGCGAGCTTCAATTTGAGCCATCATCACCATATCAGCAGAATGAATAAAAGAGGAGAGAGAAATGGAGGACGAGGCTCTGACTAGGGAACATCAACAATCCTCAGTAACTGTAAAAAGGAAACATCATGCAAGGATATTTCAATTTTTCCCTGAAGCTCAAGGGAAGGTAAGATGAAATTTTTAAAAATTTGTGAGCATTTTTAATTTTTAGGTATCACTTTTAAACATCTCTTAATGACAATTGAAAAGTTTTATAAATTTAAATCGCGTCTCTACTTAAATGAAAAGTGATCAAAGTTTTATATGGTTAAGTTTGCATTTCTAAAGTTTCTTGTAAAAATATTTTGAATGTTCTTCTCCCTTAAAGATTTATCATCAGTTTTACTTTTTCGAGGCACCCCTTGTAATAATTTTTCCACATTTGACCACAATTGGAGCTTGAGATTGGTGGCGTTCCCTTGTGAGAAAAGAATATTATACTTTTTGCAACTTCTTCCTCCATTCTTGTGTGATATGTACACGCGCGCGCCAGTCTCTTTTCGCTCCCCCATTTTCTAAAGTCAACCAAGCAAGAGGAAATCTGCTTTTTCCCGACCCTCACAGCCTCTTTCTTTTCTTTCCATCTGCAAGTAGTGTGCATGTACCAAAGCATCTCTCGCTCTCTTCATCCCCCGTAGCATTTTTTCTCCTCATTTTCAGAGCATTTCATTCCGCTTTTCCCTCTTTCCTTCTTCTTCTTCTTCTTCTATATATATAAAAATACAGCGACGCACAAGGGTGGTAGAGAACGGCCGTGCTGTTCTCCGGCTGGGGCTTCTTTAATATTTTCTTGGCATATTGCTCCGGAGATGTGCCAAGATGCGGTTTTTGCAGACGTTTCGCGCAAAAAGAGGGGCGCTGTTGCGAAACTTTTATATTCGCTCTCGCGTTGAATAAACAACAGGGGGGACAAACGGGAATAATAATATCTCTGGCGGAGAAGCAGCAGCCGGAGAGAGAGATTAAAACGTCCATTAGAGACGTTATTTTTCCATCTTCAAAGGCTTCAAGCCGGAGAGTAATTATCACCTCTTCTCCTTTCAGCAACCCCTCTCGTCGCCATTTACTTTTCCTCATTTGGCAAAAAAGCAGAGAGAAAAGGGGGTGCGAGAGGCAAAAAGTTTGCAATATCGGAAAAGCCATTCCAGTACTGCAGGCCTTAATAAAAAAGACGAGCCGAGATAAAAAAAAAAAAGAAAGAAGGGAAAACGCTGCGAGGCGCATTGGCACGGATATAAAAACTTGAGCAACTTCTTCTTTTCCTCCCTTCTTCTGCATCACAGGCCATATATTTTTGCAGCCTCTTCTCTCCTTAACTGTGCGCTGGATGTTAAGAGAATAAAAAGAAGCAGCGGCTATAAATGTTGAATGGTTATTTGGTCGGCTGGCTGCGGGGCCATTACGCTCAAGTGAGTGCAAATCTGCCGCGAACGGATTGATGTTGCGCCTCTCCGCATGCTAATA